CGGACTCTTATGATAATCATAATGCCCTAAAAGATATTAATTTTAAACTATTTAAGAGACTCATTTTGTTTTCATAGATTCATGAATAGATGTATATATAGATCTGTTATGAATTAAATTATTGACTTAATGAAACCATGACAAAATGTCCTGTATTTTATAATGACTTTATATAGCCAATGTGGGAGAAAATGAAAACAAACTTAACTTTAACACAGAAATACAACAAGCCTGTTGAAGTATTTAGTAGTTACCATCACTGCTACAGCAACATCTGTCTCTGAAATGTTTCTTCGAGTGGAATATATATATATATATATATATATATATATATATGAGACTATTACCTTTTTTCCTTTAATCTGTTTCATTTTAGAATCAGTTGTGTTAAGACTTAAGACGTACCTCTTTTCTATTCTTCTGCTCCATGGTGATAATGTAATTTCTCTTTATCCTAAATAAAACTTCTCTGAGAAGTCTCTCTTCTTTCTTGTTTTAACAGAAAGGTTGTGGGTACCATCTGGATCTCCTAATGGTGGCCGTCATGCTTGGTGTGTGCTCCATCATGGGACTGCCGTGGTTTGTTGCTGCCACTGTCCTCTCCATCACGCATGTCAACAGCCTAAAATTGGAATCAGAATGTTCAGCTCCAGGAGAACAACCCAAATTTCTTGGCATTCGGGAGCAAAGGGTTACTGGGCTAATGATTTTTGTTCTTATGGGCTCATCAGTCTTTATGACTAGTATTCTGAAGGTAATGAAATTTGCATTTATGAATTTGACAGTAGGTAGAATATATCTATTATGGTTTAAGGAATTTCATTGTAATCTAAGCAGTGAATCTGTGAATGCTGTGTGTCACTTAATGAAAATGATGATTTTTAAAAATGTTTGTATAATGCTTTTTAACCTACTCAATCCAGAGCACACTGTTATCGAGTTGATTCCAATTTATGGCATTCCTATAGGGCAGAGTAGAATTGTCCCCAGAGTTTTCATGGCTGTAAAGTATTTACTCTTCTCTCTCTCACAGCATAGCTTGTGGGTTCAAATTGCTGAACTTTCTGGTTAGCAGTGGAGTACTTAAACACTGCAGCACCAGTGCTCCTCTTTTTAACTTAAGAGAGTCACAGATGTCCTATATTTTCACTTTACCTCACTCTCATAGCTTGTGGGTCAGAATAAACTCATATCTGAACCTCTAGCAGTTTTCAGAGGCTCTAAATCACAAGAGAAGAGATTGTTTTTTTTCACCATGTAGCTGTTAAGTTCAACTCACCTACCTTTGGGTTGGCAACACAACTCTAGGCCACTAGAGCATTCTTAGATATATAAAACAAAAACTAACTGATAAAGTAAGATTTAGATATGTAAACTGCTACCCTAATTTTGAATTGATGGTCAAGGTGTAGAAAAACTCATTAATTATTTCTGACAGATTTGTGAATTGAACTCACTGTAGGCGTACACTATAGGCTTCTCATTTCTTGTCAGCGGAAACATACTTGAAATTAACATAATTTAGTGTAGAACAGAAATGCAGAGACAAGAACAGTTATATCCATGGTCACACATGCAGCTATGCAGCTGTGCAGCTTATAAGGCTTTATTGCATACACTTATTTTTTTCACATTTAAATAATTGAACTCATTCTGAAGAACATTAAAGAGTAACTATTTTCTCATGTCAGTATGGTAAATATTTACAAGGCAGGGAGAATTAAATTTTCAATTATAAGTAATTTTAGTTGCCTATAATTTAAAACTTCAATTAAATTATTTAGTCAAAAGCACATTTATAAAAAAAAGTACATTTACAAGATTTGATTTTTATGTTAACTAAATAATTTTCTAATAAGGATAGGATAGTACTGAGCTATTCCAACAAAAAGAGAAAAAGAAATAGTTCTCATGTTCACAAATGTCTGTCATTATATATGAACAATATCTACATGTTCACTTCACTTTAGCCTTTAATCCAGGTATCTTATTATTTTAAAATCAAACTCAAATTGCTTTTTAGGTCTCATAATAAAACTAGTAAGTGTTAATAGTTGTTATTTACCATGTATTGGATGTTTTTAAGAGTAGAACTTGACCTATTTAACAATAATAACAATTCCTTTACTATTAACCCTTTTTAGAGACTGAGATACCAAGACACTTTATTTATCTAAGATTATACACTTAAAAAGTTTTAGAGTTGGTATATGAACTCAGGTCTTTTAACTCTGCTTTATATCTGACTCTAAAATATATTGTCTTAGTTTCTGTTTTTATTTTTTGTAAGTGTAAAACCATAGATGTGAAAATAATTCGTGCCTTTTCTCTAATTGTTCTTTTGCAGTTTATTCCCATGCCAGTGCTATATGGAGTGTTTCTTTATATGGGTGCTTCATCTCTAAAGGGAATTCAGGTAAAAGAGAATGTTGTGAGTGCCTCTGTAATAATGTATTTTAAAGTCTGCGGAAGCTAGGTCTTACGACAGCTAAGAACATGACATCATCTGAAGGAGTGTTTGACCACAATGTTTACAAATTGGTCAGAATAATAAAGGTTAAAGAAGGCTAAAGTAAAGTCTTCTCCAGCAATTTAGATTCATGATATTAGGATACTTTTGTTTACCATATGTATATTGAAGCTAGATAAGGTTTCAATTTTTGCTGCCCTTTTAAAAATAGCAGTACATTTTAAAATATATTCAAATGGTTATCTTTGACATTATAATTATGTTTATGGAGATGGAAAAAGCTTTAGGCACAAAAAGGTCGTTATAATACGTACTATCAAAATATTGGAAACAGCCCAATTTTTGAGTAGCGATAACTTATGATACATTTCCTGAATGTTGATAATTATGATTATAAAATAACATATAAAAATACTTATGATAGAAAATGGAAAAGTAGGAAAACAAGTTATACCTTCCATAATTTTATAAAGTTGAGTGTAGGCTGGATTAGAAGAGAAGATGTAAAAATTGAAACAATGTTAATAATGATGTTTCTTTTCTTTTAAAATAATATTTTATTGTAAGGAAAGGTTTATAATAACAATTTTATTTACCATTTAATAATTTTTACATAATTTTATTCATAGACATTGATTATATTTTTCACATTATACAGGTAAATATTCTCTTTTTTTTTTCTACTCTGGTTGTCCTGTTTCCCATA